AAATATTAAAAAAAAAAAAAAAAAAAAATTACCCTAAAATCTCTAACTAAGGTCAACCACTTTTAACATTTTGGTATATCCTTCCAGGCTTTATGCATGCAAGGATGTATATATTTGTGTATTGAATGAATATAGATATTTATTTGTGCCTATTCAATCATATTTTAAATAACATCTTATAACTTGAATTGTTTCTTGATAGAACCTCAATCCTTATAAGTAAATATTTTTCTAACATTTTAACATGATTTTCTGTTATATGGATTTATGTTGGTGTTGTTAGGTGCTGTCGATGGTTCCAATTCATAGTGACCCTATGTACAACAGAATGAAACACTGCCTGGTCCTATGCCATCCTCACAATCATTGCTATGTTAGAGCCCAGTGTTGCAGCCACTGTATCAATCCATCTCGTTGAGGGTCTTCCTCTTTTTCGCTGACCCTTTACTTTACCAAGCATGATGTCCCTGTCCAGGGACTGATCCCTCCTGACAACATGTCCAAAATACATGAGATGAAGTCTGGCCATCTTTGCTTCTAAGGAACCTTCTGACCGTACTTCTTCCAAGACACATTTGTTCGTTCTTCTGGCAGTCCATGGTATATTCAACATTCTTTCACAACACCATAATTCAAAGGCATCAATTCATTGGTCTTTCTTATTCACTGTCCAGCTTTTGCACGCATATGAGGTGACTGAAAATACCATGGCTTGAGTCAGGGGCACCTTAGACATCTTTGCTTTTTAACACTTTAAAGAGGTCTTCTGCAACAGATTTGAGCAATGCAATATGTCACTAGATTTCTTGACTGCTGTTTCTATGAGTGCTGATTGTGAATCCACATAAAACGAAATTCTCAACAACTTCAATCTTTTCTCTGCTTATCATGATGTTGCTCATTGGTCCAGTTATTATGGATATATAATAATGTATTATTAAACACTTGTCTTTTTCAATTTTCACTATCATACACAATACCAGTATGAACATCCTTATGCCTGTATTTTGTGCATTTGTATGTTCCAATAAGTAGAATTTCTGGGTCAAAAAGTGAACCTATTTTAAATGCTTTTGAGACATATTTCCAAATTGCTCTTTTAGAGTTGTGTCAATTTTTATACTCACTCATTGGCACTGAATATTAATATTCCTTTCGAGTCATTACCAATTGGATAGGCAAAAACAGTTTACTCCTGCTATTTTTCTTTGTTTCTTAATCAGGTTGAACAGGTTTTCATGTTTGGTGGCCTTTTCTTTTTTGATGAATGTCCTATTAATGCTTTTTGGTCATATTTTTTCTAGATGGCCTTTGACCTTGCTCATATTATTTTGTAAGCAGTCTATACATGTTAAGGCTGTGTTGCACATAGTTTTCCTAATTTGTCAAATGCTTTTGCTGAGGTCCCTACCAGCATTATTTACAGAACTCTTCAGGGTTCCTGTGTTTTTCTCTATGTGGATGTGTTAAAATTCATCCTTTTTTTTTTACACTAAATAAGAACAGTATGGGAACTGTAATTATGATGATAGCATTAATATAACATATGAGAATAATTTATAAAAATTTCAAAAATGTACAGCAAAAACACTAATAATAAAAATAAGACAAAAGTAGTGTACAAGCTCACTGTACGTTTCTGTCTTTCCAATTCATTGCTCCAAATCCTGGCGCAATTTACTTACTGAACATTCTAGTTATTTGTTCTACTTGTCTCCATGCCTTCTACTGCAAACATGTCATTAATATTTTCATTGTGAGTCCTGTGGGAAACTTCCAGGTTATAATACACAACTGAATAATTTCACAAGACAACCCATTAGGATGCAAAATGTGGAATGCAAGATTGGGGCTTTGAGTTTTTTAAAATTTCTTACCCTCTCCAATGTAATTTCCTCAAATTCATATTCAATCTCTGTCCCATTGACCTGAAAATCAGAAAAAAAAAGAAAACATTAAATGTATATTGAGGAGAGATAGCTTCATTTTTAAAAAGGATTGGAGGTTAAGTTTTCATTCGGGCAATTAATAAGCCACACTTTCTTGATGTTTGTATTTTCATCAAAATGAAAGATAATCCAAGTCATTCTAAAATATCTAAGAGGTGAGACTCCACAAAAGATAATCGGGGCAGGCAGGGGTTGGAAGGGACAATACAAAATATGCATTGTAAGTTTACAAAGAACAAGCCATCTAGGGGCACTGTTACAGTTACAAGAGAAATAACTGAAACATTTTTTTAAAAAAATATTATGAATGAACACTAAAATATGACCTTAAAAAGCCCATGGCAAGGGCGGCACAACCCTTTCTTGCAATAAAAAATAAAATAAAAATTGAAGTAAAATACCATCAAGAATGACTGTGTCTAATACGGAATATCTTTTCTTTATTGGCTCAGGCTTAGGTAATTCACCCCTATTATCCTTGATATATTTATTGGGAAACTCTGGACCATGCAACCTTGCTGATGTGCTTCAGCTGCATTAAGAAAAGCAAACTAGGACACGTTGAAATTCCTAGGGGAAACATTTTAACCATCTTACCAATTCCTGAAGTGCTTTAAACTTTCAGAGACAAATATATTTTAATTAGGTAAACTCACATGCCTTAGATTTCAACAGATGTCTATACATCATGTATAAAGAGTTGCTTTAAAATAATCTAACAGATATTCAATTCCTTTTTTTTAATCTATCACAGAGACTTAGGCAAAATCTTTGAGCAAGAAAATTCTCAAATTGGCTGTTTCTTTTTTCTGCTCTGTGTCTCAGCAACTTCATTAGCATTTAGGAATGAGCCAGAATGAGTCATTTTTAACTGTAAAACTATAATTTTTAGAGTTCTAACTTCAGTTTACTCTTCCCTCTTCAGAAGAATTTAAACACAGTGCTGGCAGATTGAGAGCTCTATGGAAGCAAGGACTAGATAGCTGGACTGCCAAACATAGAGCCTGGCAAGAAAGAATAGACAAAGGAAAAAAAAGAGGAGGGAATGAATGATTGACTGAAGTTAGTAATTCTTTAATTTATCTGACTTATAAACACAGATATCTGTAGATTTTATTCCATAAGGAACTGAATGCGGTATCAAATGAAAACATAATTATAATCAGAAAAGTAATGTTAAATCACATAAACCATAAAATACCTGTTAGCTCCCAAGTATGACAAGGACAATGGACTTTTGCATGTCCACCAGCCACTACAGAACATGTTTTCTATTTTCTAATTACATAAGCTAATTGGTGAATCACATTTTACTGTGTTACTACATTATCAAACAGCCCTAAACTAAATTTGATTTTCTGGGCTTCAGCAACTTAATGATTCGTAGACGAGGACATGATGATGTTAGAAATCTTCTGCAGCTTCATGGCGGTTTTTGTTCTTCACATGTAAAAATAAACACAAAACACAAACTCCCTGCGAATATGTGTTTCCGTATTTTTTTAAAACTTTTTTAGTTGCTAGAGAGATGATAAAAAGGGAAGGCTGAATTAATGTGATATGTTTTCATTCTCTCAGTATGGCACCGTGAAGATTTCTTTGCTTCAGTGCTTCTCTAGAGTAAGGCCCTTCATATCATTAAAGTGCTGCAAACTGCGGAGGGAAAAAAGAAAAAAAAAACTTCAAAAAGAGGAAAACGAGCCTCTGATAATAAATATCCAAGGGCTCAGGTGAAAGAAATTCTGTTAAGAAGTGTTTAAAAGATAAGAATATTGGAGTTCGGGAAAGTCATTTGAGAGTTACTTCCAAGTGACTATTTAAGGAACCCTGGTGGCACAGTGGCTAAGCTTTCAGCTGCTAACTGAAAGGTCAGCAGTTCAAACCCACTAGCTGCTCCAAGAGAGAAAGATGCAGCAATCTGCTTCCATAAAGATTTACAGCCTGGAAAATGCTATGAGGCAGTTCTACTCTGTCCAATAGAGTCACTGTGAGTTGGAATGGACTCAATGCAATGGGTTTGGTGGGTTTTTTTATTTTTTTAGTGTCTATTTTCTCATCACTAGAAGAGGGTAGTCTATGTTCTGTCTAAAGATCTTTAAGGCAAGAAATCCTACAACCTTCCTTGGCAAGGACTTTGGGGAAAAGATGTGATAGAAAGAAGAACTAAGAATACTTATATTTTATTTAGAGGAATGGGCCCATTGAGTGGTGAGGAGCCAAGAGATATCTACAATAATTGACTCCTGGCCTTAATTTTTTGTATCCCTCTCAGTAAAATCAGAAGTGTGTTAAGGGATCAGCATCTGCTGAGGTGTTTACAGGAGATCCACTGTTGTCTGAACATGCCTTGGTGGTCTCACTCTACCCCTAATCAGCTTATCAATATATGACTCTCAGCTCACAAAGTTCTCCTCCCGAAAAGTCTGGCAAATACTTTATTTACTTATTTTATCAGTAACACTTCCTGTGATATTTAAGCATCCTGATAATATTTTATGCTCTTGAAAGTTTGGGGCTGGGAGAGTTGCATGATTGAGGCTCCCGTTCATCCAGCTTTGCCCTGATTGTGATTTACGGGCTCCTCTCCACCTAGATGACTAGAAAACTGCGAAGATTATCATTTTTATAGAAGTGGAGGGTTGATAAGGTAAATTGAATTTCCTAGATTTAAAAAAAAAAATCTGTTTTTCTTTAAACACTTGATTTTTTGGAACCTAATGGCTCTGTGGTGACAGCTGGTAGGTTTCTATGGTGGCCAGAAAATCAAATTGATGTCACATATTGTCCTGCTGTGTTCTGGGCACGTAGGCTTCCTGGCATCATATGGCAGTTTAGTCAAGACTATGACCCATAGCCCACTCGAAATCAGATTTGGTATTTAAAGTTCTAATTTCATAAATTTTGAAAGCTTTATATATATTTATTCTTTCAGACAGCCTTTAATTAATTACACTGCCTTTTTTTCTTCACTGCTACAGTAACCACCTGCCTAGATGATGATATAATTTGATTTCAAGATGTATTTTTATCTCCTAAAAAGAGATTTTTCATGAATAACACATGTGATCTATTCCACGTTTAAATGTTCTTTAATTGGAATCTTAAATACTGATTTCTCTGAATTTTTTTTTGCCACATTTGTAATTTCATTAAAGCAAGCAACATATTAAATTCTGAGATGAGTGAATTTTAACATCCCCCCATATCATGCATTATAAAAAGGGCTGAAACAGGGATGTCAAAGCATTGCTTTATTTAGGCTAAACACAATTCAACCCAATGAACAATTTTTGAGAATGCATAATGTGATAGGTGCTGAGAAAATAAAAATTTTAAGATATGATCTCTATTCTCAAGAAAAATATAGTCCTTAAAGAGGCACCAAATACAAAAATAATAAGGCCTCATAGAAGTGTAATATCCAATATACAAAATGTAGAGGTGCGCTACAGTCACAGCCCTACTGTTGCCACAAAGTATGTGTAGATCTATTTACTATTTGCTGTGTATATAGATTCAATTTCTTAGTAGTATAAAATATAATAGATGATGTACTAATTCTTCCTCTTATGATAAGTAATTATGATACCGTAAACAAGGCATGTGTCATGGATTGAAATTGTCCCCCCAAAATGTCTGTCAGCTTGGCTAGGCCGTGACTCCCAGTATTGCGTGATTGTCCACCATTTTGTTATCTGATGTGATTTTCCTATGTGTTGTAAATCCTACCTCTATGATGTTAACGAGGCAGGATTAGAGGCAGTTATGTTAATGAGGTAGGACTCAATCTACAAGATCAGGTTGTGTCTTAAGTCAATCTCTTTTGAGATATAAAGGAGAGAAGCAAGCAGAGAGACACGGGGACCTCATACCACCAAGAAAGTAGCACTGGGAGCAGAGTGCATCCTTTTGGACCCAAGGTCCCTGTGCCTGAGAAGCCCCTAGATCAGGGGAAGATTGATGACAAGGACCTTCCCCCAGAGCCAACAGAGCCTTTTCCCAGAACTGGCACACTGAATTTGGATTTCTAGCCCCCTGGATTGTGAGAGAATGGATTTATGTTTGTAGAAGACATCCACTTGTGGTATTTCTGTTGTAGCAGCACTAGATAACTAAGATAGCATGTCTCTGAATCTTATAAGTTTAGCATATACAGCTACTGCTGGACTTTAGGAGGAGTGTGATGAGCATGGAGAACAGGGTTTATGTTTCCCACTTCCTCTTACCACTCTCAGAGCAATGCAAGGTTCATGCCACTCTGCTTCACTTTAACCTGTAGCATACAGCACAGTGCCTGGCACATAGATGCACAGGGATTACGGGAATGAGTACATAGATGAATCAATGAATCGATAAATGAGATTTGTTGGGTGGGTAAAATCTGATGTTCTCTAAGCCTCTGGTTGCTAATGCAGTTCTCTGGATGCAGTTCTCACAGGGCCCAGGCCTTTTGGCATTCCCAGCTTAGACAGCCTCTCCTCTGACTTCAGCCTTTCTCAGGAACCCTGACTGCACAGGGGCACACCTTACCAAATGCCTGAGCAAGTTTACATGTAAGCACACAGGCATGCACGCCCTCCTTTCTGTTCCTCTTCCTTAGTAACTTGCCATCATTTATCTATCCCTCCCACTGGAAGATCTTTTCCAGCATACACCATGATGCCCCTTACTCCTCAGTTCTTTTAAGTATACTCTAATATGCTCAGTAAGTAAGAATGTGAGTTCTGGAGTAAAAAAATATACAGATTTGAGGTGTGTGAAGTCATTTCAGAGTTTAATATGAACAATTTCTTTCACGTTTCAAAGCCTCAATTTCCTCATGTGTAGAGTGGTACTAATAATAGTACTTCCTTCATATGGTCATTGCTCTTCAATTGCCTTGCACCGACTTCCCTCAGGCTGCTTTCATTCAATTTCCTCATGCGTGAATGGTACTAATAATAGTACTTCCTTATATGGTCATTGTGAGGATTAAATTA